CAGCGTGACATACGGGCATATAAAGAACAAAACAGGTAAATGGATAAGTACGGAATTTACAGTTATCCAGAAAGAGGCCCTTATCAAGTTATTTGAAAACCCCAAAAATTCCAATGACCCGCACGGTTAATTTAGTATTAAAAAATGAAGCAGCGCGGTGGAGGTGCCGGGGGTGGAAGTGAAAAGTTTAAAATTAAAAAATTTGAATAATAAACTGGTTTATACTGACAGTAAAATGTTTGCCGCTCTATTACTGACTATTTCAGTACAAGAATTTAAAAGGAATTTGATACTCTCCAAATAGGAAGTATATCAGTATGTGCTGCTAACGTTGATTAAGAAGACAATGCTGTTTATTAAATGATATCTACACGTATCTACCTGTTAATTAGAAAAACTCCAACCAAGTGACCACGGGAGACTCAAAGATTTTTCCTGCTTTTTCCGTAGTGTGTTTTAAGTTTTTGTCCAGAATCAGTCCACAAAACGTATGATTGCAATATTACAATTGAAAAAATATTTTTTTTGTGATGTAACTATAAATTTACGGTTTTAGGATTTTCCCGTTCACTTGTTCTACGAGGGTGGATTGATAAGTTTCCGGCCTAACCAAGAGATGACGCCACTAGGCCTACCTTGAGGTGACATTCTATAGTACCATCCTTGGATAGCTTGTAGCTATAGTTTCAGCCCGATCTCCTTGCTAGTGTAGGTTTGACAGCACGCTGAACAAGACGCCTCTGTGGTTTTCGTAAAAATGGAAAAGCAGGAAAATCGTGCTGTCATCAAATACTTTTATTTGAAGGGGTTAACGCCGAAGGAAATTAAAAAAGAGATGGACTCAACACTGGGGACATCCTCCCCGTCATATTCAACCGTTAAGCAGTGGGTTTCCGAGTTTAAAAAGGGTCGTGTGAGCACCTCTGATGGGCCTCGCTCAGGACGCCCCGTTGAGGTCACAACTCCAGATATGATCGAAAAAATTCATCAAATAGTGCTGGGAGACCGCAGATTGAAAGTGCGTGAGATAGCTGAGACCTGTAAGATGTCATATGAACGTGTGCAACATATTTTGCACCAACATTTGCATATGGAAAAGCTCTGTGCAAGATGGGTGCCGCGTTTGCTAACAGTCGACCAAAAATTGATTCGAAAAAACATTTCTACCGCAAATTTGTCATTGTATAAGCGTAATCCAAGCGAATTTTTGCGTCGATTCGTAACCGTTGACGAAACGTGGGTCCACCACTACACTCCTGAAACCAAAGAACAGTCTAAACAGTGGATTGGACCAGGGGAACCAACTCCAAAGAAGGCAAAAACAATTTTTTCGGCGAACAAGGTTATGGCTACTGTTTTTTGGGATGCAAGAGGTATTATATACATTGATTACCTTGCAAAGGGTAATACTATCACTGGTCAATACTACGCAGACTTATTGCAACGTTTGAGCCACGAGGTGAAAATTAAACGACCTCATCTGGCGAAGAAAAAAATCTTGTTTCATCACGATAACGCACCAGCGCACACGTCAATCGTTGCGACGGCTAAAATCAACGATCTAAAGTTTGAATTGATGCCGCACCCTCCTTACTCTCCAGACCTAGCCCCGAGTGACTATTTTCTGTTCCCTAATCTCAAAAAATGGCTTGGCGGTAAGAGATTTGCGGACAATGAAGAAGTAATCGAAGCTGTAAATGGTTATTTTGAGGAGCTTGACGAATCAGTCTATAGAGATGGCATTAATAGACTGGAACACCGCTATGAGAAATGTATCAGCCTTGGAGGAGATTATGTTGAGAAATAAAAAAAAAAAATTTTTAAAAACCTTGTTTTTCTTGGTCAGGCCGGAAACTTATCAATCGACCCTCGTATAAGAGAGAGCCCCGGGCAAACTTTAACTTCGTAGGAGCCGCTACCTGAGGTTAGTTTAGGTCACTCCATACCCTTCAATGAGTACGAGAGAGTAAGCAGTAATGACCCATACTGCTTTCTCTTTTTCTTCTCCCTTCCACTCCCATATCAAGCCCCTTCATCCCGTAGACGAGCGAAGCCTCTTTCGCAACTTAATACCTACGAAAATTTTCTAATAATCGTCCCGCTGCTCAGGGGTAGCATGCTGGACTACGGTTTCAATACTATTTGGTTCGGCTATAGAAGGGGGGACTCACCTATGAAATGGAAGGGATAAGAAAAGGAAAGAATCATCTCACTCGCAAGAGCAATGAGGAGCTCCTTGGCTATATCTGAGGAACACTCGGGAGTCAAAAGAGCCGAGTTTGCCCGGCTCTGCTATAAGATATGGCTTTTTGCCTTATAGGTATGGATTCTCTTGCAAGTGTTAACAAACCGTCGTATCTTCTGATTGCACTAATTTGATATTTTCACGGCTCCCAGGGATTGCAGAGCTGAGTATTTGGTAATGAGCAAAGCAAAACCAAAACTAAGACTGTCCCAATTTTTATTGGTCTTGGTCTTCCTTATCCGGTTTTAGCCTTGGTCTTACTCAAACATTTCTTGTCTTGACCTTGATCATTCTGATATAGTCTCGATTTTGGTCTTGGTCAACAAATTTTTCTATTTACCGACACAATTATCTTCAATGCCGAAATTTTCTGTCATACATGTTAGTTTATCGTAACTTTTAAAGAAAATAGTGTCGACGGTTGTAAGAGTTATGAAAACTTGAGAACTTACTCTTCCTCTGACGCATAAATTCATCTTTTAGGGTAAAAATAGTACAAGGTACTTGAAAGAAGCGAAAATATCGAAAAAAAAATTAGTTTGTCTATATTTCAACCATTAGTTATCCAGTCATAGAAACAAAGAACACTTACTTCAAACAGTGGTAAAGTTTCTTTTCTTGTATATTTATTATTAAAATCTAGTAAATTAAACTGAAAATTTCAAATACAAATACAGCATATTAATTTCAACTTGATACTTAAACACGTTCTTCAGAAAAACGGTCTTGACAGACAGACAGACGGATCTTATGAGAATTCCTTTCCTGTTTCTGAGATTCGGAACCTTAAAAATATTATTATTGTTATAAGAATGTTTTTAATGCACGCTCACGTACTTAGCATTATAGGTACGTAAAAAAGGGTTATGTATTTCAAATAAACGTAGATCAGTTATTTGCAGTCTCAAGCAGTTCACTTACTATGTATCAGTCTAATGGTTAATTAGAAGTTAATATCATCACTGTATGTGTAGCTGTAGATATTTCTAATTAGTCTCTCACGAAGGAATATTTGTCAGAAAATGTTAACACCAGAACCAATTAGATCAGAAGAATTTATTGCAGTTTTAAGCTGGCAACGTATTTAGCAGATGGTAAAACTGCTACCGGAAAAGACAACCAGTTCTTTCGATGACCATTGACTGCTACCTGTTACTAAACGACCTCCTATTTAAAATACGCTAAAAGTAATACTAAGAATGGAAAGAAACAAGAGAGCATGGAAAACGCAAGAAACATTTTCTAAACCATAACAGCAGTGTTTCCCGTAACACTGTCCAGCAGCTAAACGCGCTCAATACTTTATAGGTATCGTAGAATCTTATATCGTTTCCGGTACTCATACTAATGGATTACAGTTTCTAGAGGCTATAACAAGCCATGATATACCGTTAACTTTTTTCCGAAAAGCAGATGGACTTTTTTGGGTTCAAATAACAATAAAGATGTCCTATGTGATATATAATTATTAAACGTTTCCAATTTAATGTACAGATTTACTTACAATAAATCTTATAACTGTACACTAAAAATGAATGAACAAAATCATGGAAAGAATTTACTTTACGCTAGTCCAATTGTAATGAGATCTAATTATAACAAAACAACGTTTCTATTAACTTTAGAATTAATTCTACCAACAGCAGACTACCTCAAATTGATAGTGTTAATAATAAACATTGACATAGAAATAAATACAAATGGTAGTGAAATAATACTGTTCAGCAAACAAAAATAAACTCTTGTTTTATTATCTAGATAATAAAAGGAAAAGTAGGGAAAGAGCGAATATAATGATAGGAGACAAAAAATTAGAAGAAGTGGCTGATTTTAGATATCTAGGTAGTCAGATAAGTCAGGACGGAAGAAGTAGTACGGATATAAAGCAGAGGATGGCGCAGGGTCGTATCGCCTTTAATAAAAAGAAGTCACTTCTATGTTCGAACGGTTAATTTAGAAATTCGAAAAAGGTTGTTAAAGGTGTATGTTTGGAGCGCGGCGTTGTACGGGTGCGAAACATGGACAGTGGGAGCGGCGGAAAAGAAAAAGGTTAGAAGCCTTCGAAAAGTGGTGTTATAGGAGAATGATGAGGATAACGTGGGTACAAATGGTTAGAAATGAACAGGTATCAGTAAGAATATGAGAACAGAGGACTCTATGAAAGTCAATAAAAGACATGAAGGTCTAGTCAAAGACATATTAGAGGCAGAAACAGGAGTTAGGAGGGATAGAGGCAGATAGTTAAAGATTGTACAAATATTAAAACATTTTTATATCTTGAGCTGAAGGATATAGGTCGGTATCCAGAATTTTGAGTTTATTCGTCAAAAAAAAAAAATGAAAAAAGCTATTCACCAGCTTTAGCATATCAAAATTTTGATTTTTTTTTTAATGGAAGTAATATGTACTATCTATAGCAACAATTGCGTCTAGTAACAGAATTAATTCAAACAAAATTCACGACAGATTATGTAAGTATTCAATTCAAGTATTATTCCTACACTTTCAGTAGTTCTAAACAGTTTCCTGTTTTTCTTTTACTTACAATCAAAATTAATATCTTCTAATTATTCTCGCGAAAGTAGGTACCTAGTTTGCCTGTGTATCAATTAATTGCGTTTTCTAGGCTTGTTAAAAATTAATCTATTCTAAATGTTCCGTTCTGTATACCTAATTTATTAAACTGTGACTCAGCGGGTTTCTCCAAAAAAAAACCTTCACAGAACAAAATAAAGTAATTCCTTTCTGTTTTCAGATATGTTGAGCCCAACCCCCGACGTCCTCCCGTTTACAAAAGTCGACCGGTTTAACAAACGGAAAAGTTCGTCCTCTTTAACAAAACGTTATTATTGGAGGCAGTTAGTTTCGAAGCCAGTGATCTATGAATCCGGGGATCGCTTTTGCATCATACATCTTCCAACGTTTCGACCCCCGTTGGCACTCGCGTGTAAAATCCTGACGTTTATCTTGGATTTTTTTTGCCTTGAGGGCGGACTCGTCGTTCCGGACCTTTTTCTACTGAACTTGATTTTTACCTGTATTAAGGGCTCAGGTAAGTTCCACTGTTATTAATATATATAATCACCAAATGACTTTATTAATATCATCTTTCCCGATGAACGTATTTTAAATAAACTAGAATAATCTGTACACTTGATAGCATTTCAGAAGCTAGAATGTTCTCGTATGTCGCATGTAGAGGTAATTTAGAATGACATGAACCTTGGCCGTGTATTACGTAGGACGAAACTCCGCCTATTCATGATTTTTACCCAATCGTCACTTTTTACATTTTATTTGGAGTTCCATTATAGAATAAAATTACAGCAGAAACAACATTCTCCCAATGTACAATATGAATGCGATAAGGCCTACCAGTCGGTCATCTGAAGGTTCATGTCATTGCAAACTACTAAAATAATTCGAAGTGGTCTGTATTCTGTCGAAACTGCCAGACGCGGAACTTTTAAACTTTACGCGCTGTTAAGACAGCAGGTAAATGTTGGTCTGTGTTCTGTCGGAGCTGCCTGCGACGCGCTGATGAGATCCAAAAAGATCGAAATCGCGACCCGCGTCTGGCAGTTTCGACAGAATACAGACCACTTCGAATTATTTTATTCGATTATGGTAACGTGCCTATCACGTTGAGGTTAGCTACGCCGGGATTCGTTTCAGCAAG